TCACCTTTACAAGACAAGCATACACTGTGGCAACAGTACACTCCATTTTTCTCTAACATATTTGCCTCAGGATTGGTTGATATGGACACATCCAGTCCAACTTATGATATTTTGTGTCTCCTTAGATGCTTGGAGCAAATGAACAGGTTCAGATTTCATCTAATATCACGTGAAAGGGTATATGCTTTTGCAGAAGGGAGGACCAATGACCTGGATAGTTTGAACTCTGATAACTTGCCTGTGCATCAAACCGAATTTGTCAGCAGCAAATTGACTGATAAACTAGAACAGCAGATGAGGGACCCTCTTTCAGTATCCGTTGGTGGTATGCCTTACTGGTGTGTACAATTAATGGATTCATGTCCGTTTTTGTTCAGCTTTGAGGCAAGATGTAAGTATTTCCGTCTGGAAATATTGGGCAAGCAGCCAGTTGAACATCATTTACAATCTAATAATAGTAGTCGAGGCCTGACTGGAAGGCAGCTACCGCGTAAAAGGTGTATGGTTCACCGAAACAAGATTCTGGATTCTGCTTCCCAAATGATGGAACTCCATGCTGGACAAAACGTTGTGATTGAGGTGGAGTACAGTGATGAGGTGGGTACTGGTCTTGGACCAACCTTGGAATTTTACACATTGGTCAGTCATGAGTTTCAGAGAAGTGGTCTTGGTATGTGGAGAGGTGACTGTATGTCAAGTGGCAGCATTGGTATGGAGGATAGTAATACCAATCATCATGGAAGCCTTTTGTCTCCTTTTGGCCTATTCCCTCGTCCATGGTCATTATCTGTTGATGTCTTAGGTGAAATTGAATTTTCTGAAGTGCTTAAAAAAATTTTCCTCCTCGGCCAAATTGTGGCAAAGTCTCTTCAAGATAGCAGGGTTTTGGATCTTCCTTTCTCCAGAGCATTTTACAAGCTAATTCTTGGGAAGGTATATTCCCTTCGGATCCCAAGTTTCCATCTGATATATGTACGGAGTATATGTTTGTATGTGTCACTTGTTTTCTATATATGATCAGCAGGAGCTCAGTATATACGATATTCAGTCATTTGACCCTGATTTAGGAAGGACACTTCTGGAATTTCATGCTATTGTTGAAAGGAAAAGGCATCTTGAAGCTTTGTGTGAGGGAAAATCTACTCTAATGCCTGATTTGTACTTCCGGAACACCAAAATCGAGGACCTTTGCCTTGACTTCTCTCTACCCGGCTATACAGACTACATCCTTACTTCTGCTTCTAATTCGGAACTGGTTAGCCTTTGATGAATGAAGTGGCTGCTTGTGTAGTTTCTAGAAATTATAGGTTTTAGAATATGACGAGCATTTTGTGCTTCCTCTTTAGGTGGATGTATCCAACTTAGAGGATTATGTTTCGCTCATTGTGGATGCAAGTATAAGGTCTGGAGTTTCCAGGCAGGTGGAATCTTTTAAGTCTGGTTTTAATCAGGTTCGCAGTCATAACCCATGTTCTTTGACCTTTATAGCAGAAGTAATATTTTTGTAGGGTTTTAGTCTTTAGGCTCTTTACCTTTTTTGGTGGGTTTGAAATCCGTGAGCCATGTTTCTTGCTTCTAAAACTTTGACTAATTTCATAAAATTAACAATGAAGGTAGTCAAACCATTTGTTTCGGATCTATCTTGATTGATTTGTTAATGAAATGTTTAATCTCACATCATTCATTGACATTCTCACCTTCCATTTATTGTGTCATTTCTTTTCCAACAAACCTAGTATTGAACTTTACTTTTTTATTGGCTATTTCAGGTTTTCCCTATCGGGCATCTTCAGATATTCACAGAAGAAGAACTAGAACGTTTACTATGCGGAGAACGCGATATTTGGAATGTACGTGTATCGATGTCATTCTACCTCATGTTCCTTTTTTTTTTTTATCTTCATCCATTCTTTTTCTTCATCTGTCTCAAAATTATCGCCTCCCTTATTTGGAGAGGATTCTATGGTTGATATCGTTTCTCTTCTAATAAAATTTCATTCAAACAAGTTACACCTTTTTAAAAACCGTGCAAACTCCAATTAGGAGTTAAAGAGGGGGCAGAATGAGTATTATTTTGTTGCATTACCAAGTGGTGCTGCACATGAGATTAGGTTTGTATTTGTATCAAAGATTCTGGTTTTTTTTTGGACAGTCAAATGAGGTTGTTGATCACATCAAGTTTGATCATGGTTACACGGCTAGCAGCCCTCCTGCTATAGATGTAAGTGCATTCATTCTCCCCTGTTTTTTTGTCAATAAACATTGTCCTCATCTCAATGGTCTGTTCTAATTTTTTTTTTTTGCAGTTATTGGAAATCATACAAGAATTTGATCACGAGAAGCAGAGAGCTTTCCTACAATTCGTGACTGGAGCTCCAAGGTTGCCTCCTGGTGGCTTGGCATCTCTCAACCCTAAACTCACGGTTGTTCTCAAGGTCGTCCGTGTAAAGATGCTTTCTTTCTCTCTCCTCGCCTCTTCTCTTCTCCTTCTCATGAAATTCATACACATATCTGCTGCTCTTTGACTTTGACAGAAATGCAGCAAATGTGCTGATGACGACCTCCCTAGCGTGATGACATGTGCCAATTATCTTAAGCTGCCACCTTACACTTCTAAAGTTAATTCCTCTCCCACACTACTCTTTAGTTTTCTCTGTTCTGCCCATATATTCATCAAAAGTGGAAAAGTGAACACTTTGCGAAAAATTTACTATTTGTATTTTTCTTTCAGGAGAAAATGAAAGAGAAACTCTTATACGCCATAACCGAGGGGCAGGGCGCCTTCTTCCTTTCGTAGGGTAAAGCCAGGCAGGTATATAATGTGAATACTTAGTTATCAGACTAGGCAGATGGTGTTGATGTACATAGAATGACTAAGAAGTGGTTCTGGCCTTTGGATCTGACTGAAGAAGAAGAAGAAGATGATGATGATGACAAAGAGGTTTGAAACTCATTCTAGGGATTTGTACAGAACTTTGTTGGATAGTATTGAACATGGATAGATGCTTTATATTAATACCCAGTGTGGGTTTGAATAAAAAAAAGTGTTTCCAGTTTCTGTTATGCCAAACATTTCCCTCTCGTCCCCATGTACAGAAATCAGAAATGGCCTAATTGCCCCTATAGAGCTGGTGCCATAACTTACCACCTCACCGGGTCCCGAGGGACTAATCGGTACCATAAATTTCAACATGATAGCAGATTTTTGGTACGAGATGGACAACCTTTATGCTACGTTTGGTTCTTGGAATTTGGAAGGAAAAGTGAAGAAAAATGTCTCCTTTTACTCACAAAAATTGAAGGGAAATTGTTTTCCTTCATTTTTTGCTCTCATTTTTTCCTTTCTTTTTACATTTCATTTCTTTTCTTACCAAACAAGAAAAAATATTTTCTACTCGTATAATGTTTTTCATTTCTTTCAAATTTCTAGAACCAAACATAATGTTAGGGTGCATTTGTACTCTTTGGGGTGAACACATTGACTTGGAAGGTACTTTTTAATGCGAAATTTTTATGGGAGAAAAAGTAAGCATGGAACAATATATGACAAATATGGAAAAGTGCTTAAAGAAGCTCTAATAGAAATCATTTCTAAAGAAGCACAAAAATAAATTTTTCTCATTTTATAGGTCTATCTACATACTGAAAGAATCAAAGAAGTCGTGTCATTTATAAGTATCATTTTTTAAAAGATTGGAAAGCATGTTTTACTACTAAAAAAACTCGAACATTAGTTTCTGGAGGGGCCAACTTTCGAGGCAGAAGCATCCTTTCAAGCAATCTGGGATTTGTACTTACAAATTATATATGTTGGCTTTTTGGATTAAGCTGAAATTTGGTTTATGTTTTGGATATGTTTAGGGGTCATGCTTAGGCTTTAATTTGAATATGGAAGAGCTCTTTTGGATAATATAGAGTTTTTCGTTTTGCAGCCTGAGATGTGTTTAACATCATTTTGATTAATGGTGTGTTTTCAAACCTCAAAACCTCTAACTTCACTCACATACAATAGGCCTAATGTAGCATGATTTTTCTTTTTGTTTCTATCTTTTGGTTGTAATGAGGGTGATATCTTTTGAATTATATTGTTTTCTTTGTCTATGATATGTAGCTTGGAGTGCATAAATGGCCCTTCACTGTGTTTGTAATCTTTCAACTTTTTAATGAAATACAAAATACTTTTTTTTGCTTTAAAAGTTACCACACCAGATTGTTGTCATTTTTTTTGAACTGGGTTAATGGTTGAGATGTGACAAACTAAATGCAATCCTTCTTTTTTACTATAATAATTAGTTTTACATTGATTGAAGATACTAGTATTACAAAGATTGTCGCCTATTGTTGAGTCAACAATGTCTTTTTATGCTCCAATTTATTTTAGATATTAATTTTGTTTTTATTTTATGATGAATTTATATACAGAGTATAAAAAATTTAAAAAATAAATTTTCTTATGATAGCCTTTTACTATCAAAGCTTTTACTCGACTTCCACAAGAACAAATCAGAGACAAAATTTCGTTGCGCTCTTTGTGCAGCCGAAGGTGGAGAGGGGGAGAAGGGGAGAGAAAATTAGGTTTAAGGGGAATATTTCTTATTCCTTATGGAATGTAAGAGTAATACACCTAATTAAATAAAGTTAGTCTTGCTAATCAAATTCTTTGAAGCATAGTGTTCATGTATCCATCCCTATCACATAAGATAGCAATAGATATTATTTGAATTATAATAATATAAATTTTAATTTTCTATAGACGGAATTGAGTTTTTATTATTTTCTCTAATTTAGAAAATAATAGCAATTTTTTTAAATTGTACTTATTGTTTTTTTAAATAATAATTTAAAATTTGATTAAATTTCTTTTCCAGGTTAGAATCTAGTAACGATGTAAAACGACGTAGTCATGACAAAGGAGGGAAAAAAAAAACGAAAAGAAAAAAGTGAATAAAGACCTTATCCATAAGATCCCAAATCAAAGACATACAGTAGTATCTCAAACGCATCCTCGTCCCAACATTTTAAACACTGGATAAAATCATAACTCCCTCTTTCTTCCTCAGACCACACAACGCAGATGGTCACCAGCCATGAACACACCAGCTTCCAGATTCTCCCCATTTTCATCATCTACCCATAGCTTCTCCTCGCCTCCTTCCTCAGCTGCAACCACTTTTGCAGCTTGCAGAGTCAAAGTTGCCCAATCAAGTCAACCCCCCACCACCACCTCCTCCCTGGTCACCACTACCCCTAACCAGGTATCAAATGGGCATCAACAAGACCAAACTCTTCTCAATCTTCTCCGGCAGAGGAAAACAGAAGAGGCCTGGGCTGCCTGGCTGGCTTGCACCAGATCAGATCATCTTCCCAACCCCATTTGCCTTAGCCGCCTGGTCTCACAATTATCCTACCAGAACACCCAGGAAGCCCTCACGCGTGCCCAGTCCATCGTCCGCCGCCTCCAAGCTGAGAACCAGCTCAGCCTCCTCGACGCCAACTCGCTCGGCCTTCTTGCGGTGGCGGCAGCTAAGTCCGGTCAGACTCTGTACGCCGCTTGTATTATCAAGTCTATGCTCAAATATGGGTACCTCCCACATGTCAAAGCCTGGAGCTCTGTAGTCAGCAGGCTTTCCTGCTCTGGCGATGATGGCCCCTCCCAGGCTTTGGCTCTATTTGCCATAGTCATCAAAAGGGTCCGACGAATCTCGGACCCCGATGTGATAAAAGACTCCAGGCCTGACACAGCCGCCTATAACTGCGTGTTGAATGCCTGTGCAAACCTGGGTGACACTAGGAACTTTTTGCAACTGTTTGAGGGAATGAGTGAGTTTGGTTGTGAACCGGACGTTTTGACATACAATGTGATGATGAAGCTTTGTGCTAGAGCTGATAGGAAAGATTTGCTTGTGTTTGTACTGGAGAGGATAATAGAAAAGGGAATACCTTTGTGTATGACAACATTCCAATCCCTTGTGGCAGCTTATGTTGGTTTTGGCGATCTGGAAACCACAGAAAAGTTGATTCAGGCCATGAGAGAAGGGAGGAGAGATCTCTGCAAGATGCTAAGGGACGATGGCTCAACAACTTTGAATGAGCAACCAGGTTTAAACGAGAGTGACATGTTCAAGAAGTTACTTCCTAATTCTGTAAATTCAGTAGACAAAGAGCCACCAGAGTTACCTCGGGTGTTTAAACCCAATTCGAGGATGTATACCACTTTGATGAAAGGTTACATGAAGATGGGCCGAGTTAAGGATATAGTAAGAATGCTCCAGGCAATGAGACACCAGGAAGATACTGCAAGCCAACCGGATCATGTGACCTATACAACTGTTATTTCTGCTTTTGTGGAACAAGGATCAATGGATCAAGCACGAGAAGTCCTGGATGAGATGGCCAGAATTGGAGTTCCTGCAAACAGAATCACTTACAACATTCTCATTAAAGGGTATTGCCAGAAATGCCAGATAGACAAGGCTGGGGAACTTGTGAAAGAGATGGTAAATGGCACTGGGATAGAACCAGATGTGGTTTCTTACAACACTCTCATGGATGGATGTATATTCGTTGATGATAGTTCAGGGGCCCTTTCGTACTTCAATGAGATGAGAGCAAGAGGTATCGGTCCCAATAAAATCAGTTATACAACATTGATGAAAGCTTTTGCTTTGGCTGGCCAACCAAAGCTAGCTAACAAGGTGTTTGACGAGATGGTAAAAGATCCTAGGATAAAGGTTGATTTGGTGGCTTGGAACATGTTGATTGAGGCGCATTGTAAGTTGGGGAAGATTGATGAAGCCAAAGCCATAATTCAGAAGATGAAAGACAACGGAACATTTCCTAATGTGGCTACGTATGGGAGTTTAGCTAATGGGATTGCATTGGCTAGGAAGCCTGGAGAAGCACTACTGCTGTGGACTGAAATAAAGGAGAGATGTGGGATTGAAACGGGAATACACCAACCTAATCCTTCAGCTGCTCTCCCGCCGCTGAAACCAGAGGCAGGACTTTTGGAGACACTGGCTGATATATGTGTCAGGGCCGCGTTCTTTAGTAGAGCTTTGGAGATAATAGCTTTCATGGAGGAGAATGGGATATCGCCAAATAAGACAAAGTATAAAAGGATATACGTGGAGATGCATTCGCGTATGTTTACAAGCAAGCATGCTTCAAGGGCCAGGCAAGAACGGAGAAAAGATAGGAAAAGAGCAGCAGAGGCTTTCAAGTTTTGGTTGGGATTGCCTAATTCTTACTATGGAAGCGAATGGCATCTTGATTCTGAATATGATAATTCTGACTCTGCCTAAACCATATTATGCCAGAAGATGTTGGTGAGAAAAATAAAATCAGGAGATTGTAGCATGGACATGTATGTATCATATTGAATATACTAATACAGTACCAGTATATAACTAGTCCTTGAATTTTGTTTGAAGGGCCTGATACACTGATACATTAAATTAAATATTACAGAGTAACATTCTCTATTACAGAATACTGGGAATTTGATAGAAAGAGAGCTAAATTGTAAATTTCCATAGCTAATAATCAACCTGGCTAGGTTTTCCGTCAGTGAGACTTTTTCCCCTAACAAAAAAAAGGATAATGAAGAACGTATAGCATATGCATCTATCTTTAAAACCTGCTAAGTTTGGGAGTGGTCAAAAGGAGCTAGCACATGGTTGAGGTCAATTGCAAGGGAAATGTGCTTTTAATGCATATTACCAGTGCTGGAAAACTATCCCCTTGATGATTGACTTCTTGAATAAGATGATGATAGGACCTGCATTGTATAAGATTCTTATCATTGTTATTTTGCTTTCTCACTGTAAGCTCTAGTTTGCATAGCTTATTTGCTTTCAATAGTGCCAGTGGAGATAGAGCTAATCAAGAATTTTTCTTTTCCTTTATAAATAACTAGTTCACTTCAAATGCCAACAATAGGTATGATCTGAAATGTTTACAGTGTAGGGGTCTTACGGTACTGTGGCATGTAAACTACAACAACAATAACATTACCACAGTGCCTCAAAGGCTCCCGCCCAATGCGGGGTAAGGGGGGGTCGGATGTACGCAGCCTGACCCCTATGTTTAAAACATAGATCGGATGCTTCCATATGACCCATGATGATCATCGAAAGTTGCATTGACTAACTGCTACTTCAATATTAAAAGACGCCCAAACAGTTTAACGAGCCATTTCGCTTTATTCCATCATACCCCAAAGTCAAAAAAGATGAAAATGTTGTGGCATGTAAAAACTATCGAGTGAAAATTGTGAAGTTGGTAAAAGGTGTACCTGATATTTCTTTGGACCCTTCTTCAGCAAATAACCCGCAGTGTTAAGAGTGTCCAGAAACGTATCAATATCAGGGACCCTTAAGCCAATGCTATCTGCCAAACTGTACAGTTCCTGTAGATGGTAATGAAGCACATGTGAGGCAAACTCCAGGAAGTTGACTTGGAAGTATTATTTTTTGGTACAAGCAAACTTGAATTTATTGATAATAAATGTTGATTCAAGAAACTTTAGTTGTTTAGAGGCTTACAGATATTGAAAAGCAATCCTTTTGATGCACTTCTGATTGCTTATTTAGTGCACCCAAAAATCTTTTCTTCTCCTTTTCTTTACTCATCCCTCCACTACGCCCAAAATCCACAAAATCATGCTCATCAACATACTTATCATATAAAGACTCCTTCATTATTTCAACAACATCCTGCACAGTACAGAGTCATTAGAAATTTGAGATGCATATTACAGAAGGAACTATTATTGCAAAACATATGGAGCAGAAAGATTAAATGCTAATATTAATACTGCAAAATGGAATAACTAGATAGTTATTTATGATAAAATAATTTGTAGATGACATTTTTAGATAATAGGAGGAAAAAGAAGAAGAATATGATGGTGATGATGATTATGATATGATGCAAGATCTACTGCAGGGACGATAAACTCACCAAAGCATCTTGCTCAGTTATTTGTTCTCTAAGATCAACCTTAGCTCGAGCTTGAGCCAACCTTACCAGACTTTCTAACTGCCTAGCAGTTATTGGTGTACTATCAGCAGATGTGTTACGATCTCTCAGTTGCAGGTAAAAGTTCTTTAAGATAGCTGCAGCAGGTTCCGTCATCCTTTACCCAATATAAAGAAAATAAACCAATGAGGTGGAAGAAATCCCCAAATTTTTGTTATTTAGAAAAAGCTGAAACTACCTTGGAAAGACGTAAGCTCTTGCATAGGCAATGTATTTACGCAAAAGCGGACCAGGTAATGGAACAAAACCACTATCCTTCTTGGGGTCAAGTCTCAGTCTTGCGACTAAAGAATCATGCCCTACATTCAAGCTATTTTCCCCCGCATCAAAGGGTGCTGCAAAGTAATAAAGATGCAAAATAATGAATTCCTCATATTAGAATAATGTTGTATCCAGAATCATATAAAAGGTGTTACCTGTGCATAATCGTTTTGTGGCCGGTGGATGCTCTGGAGCTTTAGCGTGAAGCTGCAAAAGAAAATTAATTCAAAATGGTTCTGATTATAAGGGGAGGTAAGTAGAATTGCATCAACCCTCATATTACTTGCAATGATAGTTAGAAATGCATTTGGGAAATGATATTACTCTTCTTAACATATCCTAAAAAGCACCCCAAGAATAAAAAAATGCAAATGTGTTGTATTAAAAGCCACACTGCTACCAAAAATTATGTGATAAGAGAACCCCTCACTACATCCATATCAATGTAATTTTATATGAACCATTCACACCACTTGCAATCCACAGATGAGACCCTGGGCCAGCATTGTCAATACAATATACAATGAGCCTATGAACTCGAGAGTTGAACATGTCTCAGAAACATATGATACTCTCGTTGCCCAAATTTATCCGTGCCTACTGTGAAAGTAAATTATGTGGTTGACATATATACAGAGGATAGGGAAACAAAACAATAGGAACCACACAATGCATTCTATAAATAGAAATAAACACAACCATTGTTGTCAAGTCGTTGCCTAGTCGCCGACTAGTCGTCCAGGCATTTTCTGAATGGCGACTTGCACGTCGACTAGCGACTAGGGTAGACTAGGCGACCGGGCGAGTTAAGCGACGCCTAGGCGCGCCTAGGCAATGACTAGTCTGTGAAGAAAAGCTGCCCAGCCTGAACAATTCCAATTTGACCCAACCCGACCCAAATTTCATTAAACTTTAAAAATTACTCAATAAAACACAGCCTCCCTTGATCAGTTCAATCAGCACAATACTGTTCATTTCAAAATTTAGTGACACCATGGGTAACAGTATTCACAATACTGACCATCAATAGGATGATGTCAAGCTTCTAGAATTGCTACTTTACAAAAATATTCCTACTTTATTTACAACTATATTCTACAACTACTTTCCATAAGCTTCAGAAACAAAGACACCTTTTCTTTGCACATTCCATATTCACATTCATCTTACAGGGCAACAATGTCTGTTTTCTTAATTTCAAAGGTCGGGACCTTCAAAATGTAGAAAAGATTACTGACACTACAAATACTTATGCATGAACAAACAACAACTCAGTAGAATCCCACAACAACAGAATCTGGGCATGGACAAATAACAAATATTTCAAAAGTGCTTCTTTGGTGGACCTAAGGTCCACACCATTTGTGGACCTCAAATTAAGAAGCATTTTTTTTTTTTGCAAAAACAAATAGTATGCTTATCAAGGTAGTAAACATTTGCTTACCACCTTAGGTCCACCTAAAACAGTGTGGACCGTAGGTCCGCCATAGAATTTAGCATTTTTTTGAAAGAAGAAAATGAATTCCTACTGGTGGTCAGGAATATTCTTTGGCATTTTCAGCACAAAACAGATTAAAATAACTCACAGATATGATGTGCTTTGAGAGTCGTTTATCCAGTAGCTCGTCAGGTTTGTCAAGTAATATGAAGACCAGATCAAACCGCGAGAGTAAAGCACTACTCATTTTCAAGTTCTCGTTTACAGTTTTTGTACGGCTGCAAAGTTTTAGCAATATTAATGTCAATAACCTGTTTAAACAAAAAGTTAACCATGCAGACAATGATCGCCTTTTTTATAGTTTCATTTCATATTATAATTCCACAAACTATGTTTAACTTTGAAGTCAAAAGAAAATATCGATAACCATTATAAAAGAATAATCTAAGAAAATATTTAGTCTTGTTTAATTGATGTAGTAACTTCATATTAATTCTGAAGCACAAGCCGCTTTTTGTAAAGGATGTATTTCATCAAATATCACTATAATTTAACAGTATATATAGAACATAGCAGTCATCAGTCATCACTTATGCAGTGTGCAGAACACATTAATGATGAGATAGAGAGAGAGAGAGAGAGAGAAACATTGCATGTTCAGAATTTCAAATGACTAGTGATTTAAAAAAAGACTAGTGATTTTAAAAGGACTAGTGATTCAAGCCAAGTTTAATCGCAGTACTCATAATGACCACCAACAGGGTTTGCAGCTGCTAAAACAGATGTTCTTGCTGATAAACTTGCTACAAGTCCTGCCTTTGCAACAGAAACACACTGCTGCTCCATAGCTTCAAATAAGGCCTAAAACTATCCCATAGTTAAGTACTTATATTAATTAGAGTAGCAAAACTAATAACAGTATGTATAGTTATGAAAAAACCTAGTAAAACCTGATGTCCAGCAGACATTTTGTCAAACTCATCAATGCAGCATAATCCACGGTCTGCAAGAACCATTGCACCTGACAAACAAAACAATTATTGTTGATAGATGGATGGAAACTAATGATGCCTAAACAACCAAAATAAATCATAAAGAATGTAACTTAGATTATCCTTTGATTCAAGTACATGTTTTCCACATACATTGTAGATCACACGATCCCTGAAATGTGACAGTGCCAGAACTTCCTTTTAATTAACATGTGGATGAATCTTTATTTAATGTAGAAAGGAAATGTCCATGAAGATGATGATGTGATATGTCCCATTTTCTACACTTCCCCATCTTTTTCGACTATATAGAGTACACTTTACAGGACCCCTCTGTTTACAGAGGGCGCTTTCCAAGGCATTTCAGAGCTTATCATACATCATTGATCATTATCAATTAGATCTGGAATAATGTCTGCATTTGATCACCAGACATAAAGAGAATAAATATAACAGGGCATAAGAAAGACAGCTATTAGGTGGACGTGTGGGGCTATGCTTAATCTATGTAAATATTAAATTGGTATATATGTTGTCATTCTCTAAATTGGGATTACCAAGTTTTAGACACAAGAAAAACAATCCTCCTGATATTGGTTGAAACTGTAATATTTTTGGCATTCAGTGCTTCTCATAGTTCACACAAAACACACATATAGAAGGTTTACCAGCTTCAAAGGCATAATCACTAGTCATTGGATCCTTCACCACAGCAACAGTGAGGCCAGCATTAGTTGTAGTATTACCACATACATATATGCCACGAGGAGAAACAGAAGCTGCTGCTTGGAGCAGTTGACTTTTACCCAGCCCAGGATCACCTAATAATATGGAATTAAGAGAACTAGCAATGCCTTCAATAATATTTTTATATAATTGGGAAATAACGACATCCTTAGGATACAAGAACTAATATGCATACCAACTATTAGTAGATGGATGTCCCCCCTAACAGGGACCTTGTTCTGATCCATTGAATGCTTTTGTACACCACCAAACATAGCCAGAGTAATTCCCGCTGTTTATGAAAGGAGATCAAAATAACTAACAATGTAAATCAATGCAAGATCATCACTCATGTATCAACAGGTATGGAGTACCAAGTGGATAAAGAATAAAAAAATCTCTGCTCATTTCTTGCTTAATATCAGTGAGGAATTAGGGTTTAATAAACAAAATAATAGATTCATGACCAGTATGCAACAATGAGAAAAAATTTGAAACCTACGAAAGAGTGATGAGCCACATAATAATGAAAGAAACCGTGCCAACTCGTACACAAACCTTTGACAAGCTCATGTCCGTAGATTGAGGGGCAAATTGAATGAAGCAGTTGGCGAAAGATGTCAGAGCCATGCTCTTCAGAAAACTTTACAATGAACTCTAAATCCCTTGGAGAAAATGATAACAAGTCAAAAAACTCTGTGGATCTTGTAATGGACCTGTCAAGCGTATTCTCATGCATTTGTTGAGTCTTGGAATTTCTTATTGATACTGTTTCAAGATATAAATAGTAGAGCTCTTGATTTTTGCCTTTTGACTTTCCTGAAACAGTAGCTTATGCGATTAGTCCCTGTCTGAAATAGTTCATATAGAAAGTTTGCTTAACGTCAAGTAAAAGACACCATCACAAATTTAACTTTAGCTGGTATCGTCACAAATTGTCAATGTTTAGATATAAGAGCTCAATCTTTACAGCAGTGAGTTTTGGAGCAATGAATGATCACTCATCAGCATAATAAAAAAGAAAAGATTATTAGTCAGTTTCCAACTAAGGGAAAGTTTTTAACTATATCTGCATCTAGAGCATACTATATACAACACAATAGTTCATTTGGAGTAAATAAGGTGTTCAGGAAAATACCCCCTCCAATGTCCATGTAGTTGTTAATCACTCTAACAATACCCGTTACAGTCACAATGTCTCCAGGAATGCAAGCATCTACAAGATCTTCCGTTAATTCACATTCAACTGTGCGCGGAACACGTCCTTCCTCATGATGTTCAGATCTCAGCAGCTCCTGAATTCTGGAATGGAGATATTATTATACAATATATGAAAAGAGGTTCTGCTTTTTAGCTTTATTATGAGGAACGAAACTACGGAAGTGAGCATACCTTATCTTCTGAAAGTCTATGGGTTGTGCACTGGATCTGATTGGTGTAAAGTTCCTACTTTTGCAACCATGCACTTCACATATTGAGGGGGGTGAAAATTTTCCATCTGGAAAGTCACGGTCAATGTTGGTTCCACATTTTTTGCAGGCAAAGCTCATTTTTATTACCAAAGGTCTAACTGTGCTAACTTTTACCACTGTACCACGCACAGAAGCAAGCCTGTCTGCCACATGAACATAGAATGTCACTATGTCAGTATTAGTGCAACATCAGTTTGGAGTTTTCATGACATATAACTTTGAAACCAATATGTTTAGTATAAAATTGAAAACTTACCAATATATGCTGCTTTTAGGTTCTTCAGTGCAATCACTTGAGGGTAATTATGCAGACGAATATTTATCTTTGCACAGTCATCAAACATTTCCTTCCCCCATTCCATGAACATAACCTGCTGAACTTATAAACTTAATTAATCATGCAAATGGGATTGACATCCATGAAAGAGTGGAGTCCTGATAGCATCATACCTTGTGCAATGCGGCACTCATACATAGCAGAGCTTCTTTTGGTCTATCATCTAAGGTCATATAAAATTTTCTGATTTTGCAGACGTTCTGAAACTGCTCAAAGTCAAGTGGCAAAAATAATATGCCATCATCATCTTTGACCTACAAACATTGAAGACAAACAACTGACAGAGAAGATCTTTGTTGTGTATCATAATTAGCAATCTCAATGTGACCCCACTATAGTTATGTTTTTTTCTACAGCAAAACTATTTAAAGAATCAAACAAGCTCAATGGTACACTGGAATTGCATTTCTTTCCATTCTCACAATGGACACTCTTCACTGCTCAAAAATCCTCATTCAGTGAGTCCACACATAAACAGTTCCACTAAAAAACACACAAATTTCACAATAACAACAACCCAGTATAATTCTAACTGCGTTGGAGTTTGGGGGGAAAATGTACGCAGTCTTACCCTATAACATACGGAGTACATAGAGTCTATTACCAATAGACATTGATGCATTATTGCATTTACTACTCAAAACTTCATTGAAATTATGAAGCAAATGAAGTTTAATGCGTCATTTTTATTTAATCTTTTATTTATCCGGAACTAAAACATTGACACTCTTTTAGATACATTTGCAATGAAGCTAAAAATGACAAAAACAACAACAAAACCAGTAAAATACCATAAAAAGTGTGTAAGGAGATCTTACCCCTGCTCAAATATAAATGGAGCTTACCCAAATTTTAATAAAAGTAAATACCCATCAAGCATATGAAAAAGGAGCAGATATTACTAAAGTATGAGACATTTACAGTAATACATAAAAAAGGAAATAAAAGAAATAATGCATTTTTAGGATATATTTATGAAAGAAATGTTAGAGAGACCTGAGAGACAAAGTATTCTCCTTCTTTAGAAAAGAATTCAGCAAGATCGGATGCGAGTTCGAATTTGAACTTGGAATCCTCCAGAGTAAAGTCGATTTTGGGAAAATATACGCCTAAAAACTTGGCGAGGCCACTTGCAAAAGAAACTGTCTGGCGATTGCGATTCTCGGTGCTCGCAATCTCGCCGTACATGGCGTCTTCCGGCGGCGAGTGAGGACTGAGGAACAGATTAATTGAAGTCGTTCTGAGCAATGGTCAGTTCAGGTTTCTGGCGGGAGAATGAAATTGGCAGTCGGCTCTTGTGAGAATTTGCCTCCAAATTCTATGGACCGTGGTACAGGACCAGCCTTTTTCTAAATTTGTCCAAAAGTGTTATGGAGAGGCTTGATGAGCTGATAGTGTGTAAATTAAGAAGTGTGATTTGAAGTAATAGAAATACAAAATAATTCAAGTAAAACCTCAACATCTTGCAGCGTAATTCCCACCTCTCCAAAGGGAAGATGGAATGAATGGGTCTCGGGTCTCCATCTCTCCACTAGAAAAGCAATCAGAGCCCAATCTAACTGTAATACACCCACTTTCTCCACCCCATAAAATCCATAATCTTATAAAATCTCTATTACACGAGGTGGTCTATTAGCAACAAGAGTCCTCGTATATAAACTAGAACAAGTCCTATGATACTTTAGAGTGACTTTGGCATATTCTTCGTCCGCCCATACCGCATCACACCTATGTACTCCGCCTTCAAAAACTAAAACGTCCCGTGCAATAGATCCCGGATGAACATCCATTTGCTTCAAAGATTACAACATAACATTTTATTCATTTAATAACAATTCATTTGCTTCAAACATTACAACATAACAATTTATTCATGTAATAAAAGCACACAACTAGGCAATTATAATAAAAAACTCATTAAGTAACTAATTATGTTAAAAATTATCTTACAATCTCAAAATTAAAAAATTACCAAATTTTTATGAATATTTAAAGAATCAAATTCAAAATCTTACAAACTAATAAATAAATAAATTAATATATATATATATATGTATATATATATATATATAATGGGTAGTGAGAGAAAGCTGTCGGAATCCTCTGGGTTTTCCGGCCAGAAAATAGGGCCGTGTAAACTTTTCTCGGAACTTTTCAAGGAAGAAGGATGTAAAACTATTGGAAGCATCAAACCTTCTCCCTCAGGAAAACCCGCTGTTTTCTTCAGTGACGAGGATTTGGAACATATTAGGGAAAGATTCCCTTTTGCTGTCAAAGCTAGATACAAGCGGGATACCACGACGGAGGAGATAGGAAAGAGCCTGGAAAAAGGTGGATTCAAGGGTGGATTTCGAATCTCAGGAGTCACTAGATATCAGGTGATCATTGTCTTCAATCAATAAGGAGATTATCTTCGCATACTGTCCAGAAGGTCATGGTCAGTAAACGGGAATCAGCTTTCAATCTGCAAATGGGTTCCTAGTACAGAAGATAAACATGATAGCCCCCTAGCTCTTATCTGGGTAACTCTCAAAGACCTTCCTTTTTTCCTTCTTGACAAAAGAAATCTCTTTTCTGTTGTTAAGGTCTTTGGGAAACCAATCAAGCTTGATGAAACCACAGCAAGGGGAGGCTATTATCAAACAGCCAGAGTTCTTGTGGAAATGGACGTATCCAAACCTAAACTCTCTTCCATCAAGGTTACTTGTAACTACTGGGTTAGAAACATCACTGTGGTTTACGATCAACCTCTTTATTGCAAATCCTGTAAACGTTGGGGACATTGTTGCACCTCCCCGTCAACCGCCAGAAGAGTCTTGACCGGTGGTGAACTTCAGACGGGAGACAGGACCACTAATCGTGGGTCCTTTGAGTGGACTAGGGTGGAGCGTAAAGGGAAAAAACCCATGCACGTAAATACAAGGAAGAGGGAGCCAACCCGCTTGCAAACATCCAATAAATTCCAGGCACTTGAAGACAAGGATTCTGCTGACATTATGGTTGGAGCTGGCCCAAGCTCCATTTTCCAACCTTCAGTTATCCCTAAGGCTATTACTTCTTTGGAGGCGAGCCCAAGCACAGGTAAAGTAGGAATTTTTAATGACAAAATACCACTTCAAACCCTTGGCTCGATCTCTCCAGGGAACCCCTCTTCCCTCCTCGTGAAGCAAACAGCACTGGAACATACATCCACTCTGGACTCTCTTGGTCTCCTTTCCACATATGCTGATCCTGAAACCCCTTGCACCCCTGTGTGCATACATTCCGATGGTGAAGGTGAAAGAATTATTTTCAAGAGCCCCATTTCTTCCTTGGAGGGTAAATTATCTGTTATCAAGAGGCACACGCTTTCTTTTATGAAGGGTAGAGGCACTAAGAAACCTATGCCCCCAATGCACATGACTCTTAGGAGTCAAGCTAAAGCTCAATCATACCCTTCTTAATGTATCTCCTCTTTTGGAACATACGTGGGATGAGGAAGTCTAGAATTAATTCCATCACTTCCCCTCACAAATGCTCCTTTATTGCTATTATGGAACCTCTTGTTGCATGTACAGAAATGAATTCCTTCAAACTCAAATTGGGTATGACCCATGCTGCCTCCTTCCTTCATAACCAACTCTGGATTTTCTGGATGGAACCCACCCTCACTCTCCTGCAAACTGTGGAACTGGAACAGGTTGTTCACTGCCATTTCAACTCTCCCACTTCTCCTAGTCCTATCTGGATCTCCTCTATTTACGGGAAACATAGTAGGTCCTCCAGAAAGACTCTTTGGGAATCTATCTCGAAATGTAACCCTGGAACACAGCCATGGATATTGGGTGGGGACTTTAATTGCATCCACAATATTGATGAACACAAAGGGAACACCGAACCTTGCCACAACTCTATAGAAGATTTCAGGAATTGCATGGAAGCCAACAATCTCCTTTATCTCCCCCCTTCTGGAGGACATTTCTCATGGAGTGGTTCTCGGAGTAGTGGAAAGGTCTGGAGAAGGCTGGACCATATCTTCTGTACTCAACCAGTGCTTGATCAGTTTCCCACTCTCTCATTAGAAATGCTTAGCAAAGGTAGCTCGGACCACAGACCCTTACTGCTGAAGTACTCCCTTAGCTCCTTTTCTGGACACAAACCTTTCAAGTTTCTTAACATGTGGACTTCCCATCACTCTCTAGAGGCTACAATCGGGAATTTCTGGGAAAGCAACAAAACCTTTAATGGAATGCAAGGTTTAGCAAATAACTTGAAGGCTTTGAAGCCAATCCTTATCAAATGGAATGGAGAGGTATTTGGGAATATTTTCCAAAAACTTAAGGATGCCGAAGCCTCTGCCCAAACAACACAAACCTTTTATGAAGCCAACCCTTCCCCTGACTCCCTAGTGGCAGCTAACAAGGCTAATGCTGAGTTAGTTTTAATTACTAAAAAGGAAGCAGAATTCTGGCAGCAAAAGGCAGGTATCAAATGGATTAAGGAAGGTGATGCTAACTCCAAGTTCTTCCACAACTTCGTTAAAGGGAAAAGGTTAAGGCTTCATATCTCCTCTATCAAAAATGACGAGGGGAAGATCTTGGAGGATAAAACTGAAGTAGCTACATTTACAGTTAACTTCTTCACCAAGTTGTACAAAGCAGATTCTGTCTCTGGTGATCCGCACATTTTTAGCTTTATCCCAAAACTTATCAATGATGAGGACAATAAGCTTATCTGTACCCTACCTCTAGGGGAGGAAGTCAAGAAGGCAGTTTGGGACTTAAATGAAAGCAGTGCTTCAGGGCCAGACGGTTATAATGGAGTTTTTTTAAAAACTTTTTGGCATATCATCCAGCAAGAAGTGATTCGGGCTAGCCAGGAATTCTTCTTGGGGCTTCCCGTCCCGAAATCCTATGGAGCCACGTTACTTACCTTGAGTCCCAAGGAGGACAACCCAAAAAGTCTGGAGGACTATAGACCTATCTCTCTATCCAACTTCATCTCCAAAATTAACACTAAGATATTATCCAACAGGTTGAGAAACCTTCTGCTGAAACTGATCAGTCCTGAACAAAGTGGCTTCCAGGCAGGTAAGGGAGTTGATGAGAACATTTTATTGGCTCAAGAGATGATCCATTGTTTGGATAATAACAGGGGGAGTGCCAATGTTGCAATAAAGGTTGACCTTTCCAAGGCATTTGATAGACTCTCCTGGAAATACCTTGAACAGATTCTCCTCTCCTTTGGATTCAGCCCTACTGCTTGTCACCTCCTCATGCCAACTCTCAAGGCCACACACTTCTCTATTCTCATTAACGGTGTCCCCCAGGGCTTCTTCAAAATGGAGAGGGGAATCAAACAGGGGGACCCCCTCTCCCCCCTGCTCTTCATTCTTGGCAATGAGGGTTTAAGCAGAATGATCAAAGCTAAAGTGGCTGAGGGATTTCTCAAAGCTTTCAACACGGGGAGAACTCCTCCTCCCTCACAATTAGCTTATGCAGATGATATCATTTTTTTCCTTAATGGCCATTGCAGGAATTTATTAAAGTTTAAGGGACTTCTTGGTAAGTTCCTTGAAGCGCCTGGACACCAAATTAATCTCAACAAGAGTCTCTTTTACACAGGAACTAAGGTTCAGCTTGCTATCAAGGGCAATATGGGGAGGGCACTGGGAATGAGAGAAGGGAAACTCCCCATGTCTTACCTGGGAGCAACCATTGGCAAAGGAAAGATGAAAAAGGCACATTGCAAGAAAATTATCCTGCACTTTGACTGCTACCTTAATACTTGGTTTAGTAAGGTTCTAAATCAAATGGGAAGGCTGATCCTCATCAAACATGTGCTTAGTTCAATTCCTCTTCACATCCTGGCGGTCCAACAAATGCCCAAATCTGTCATGGACATCCTAAATAAGAAAATGCAGAACTTCTTTTGGGGCTACAGGGACGGGAAACCCAAATATCACTGGAAAAACTGGAAAAGTATGTGCTACCCCACCATTGAAGGAGGGGTTGGAATTAGGCACCTCGAGGATATAGAGGCAGCATACTCCTCAAAACTTTGGTGGAAGCTTCGTAATAATGGAGGTTTATGGGGAGAATACATGAGGCACAAGTACTGTACACAAACCTTTTGTGAAAGACCAACGGACTCAATTACTTGGAAGAGAGTTTCTAGAATTCACAACTGGGCATTGCAACATGTTGATAACTCCGAGGGTGCAGATACATGGGAAGGAGAGGATTTCTCTATCAAAGCAGCATACAATGCCTGGAGAGACTCTAAGCCTCTCTCAATCTCTTGCAAGATGATTTGGGATAAAACCCAAATACCCAAGATCAAACTCTTCCTTTGGAAAACCTTCAACAATCTTCTTCCTTTCCCAAATAATTTGTCTAGATTCAACATGGCATTACCATCAAGGTGCAACTTCTGCAAGCAAGGCACTGAAGACTCAAACCACACTCTCTACCAATGTCAATATTCACTGAAAATATGGAAATTCTTCTCCACACTCTTCTAGGGCCATATCATCCGCAGAAACTCCACATTACAGGAAGCTTGTATGAACTGGTGGCTGGTCACCTGTCGTAACTCCATGCGGGAGAAGCTCACGGCCAACCTCCCAGGGTTCATTGCATGGGGTCCGTGGAAGGCATATAATGCAGAGAAATATGAAGGAGAGGCTTTTAAGGAAAGCAGGATCATATATAATATTATGACAATGATTCAACAATGGTGCTGGGCTCATCATGGAAAGAAATGGATATATGATTATGGATGAAGAAATGAGGAATATAGGCTTTCAGCCATGGACTCGTCGAAGATTATTATTCTAATTGCCTCATTTTGTTCTGCATTGATGTATTTTGGGCTGGGTTTTACCCCACACGCACTTATTTGTATCTCTATCTTCTTTATTTTAATAAAATATCCATTTATTTAAAAAAAATTACCATAAAATGATAAATATTTATATAAGTTAACTAAAAAATAAAAAATACCTCCATGAAACGGAGTAGGGTAGTCCGAATTGTCTTCTTCCGGCGGTGGCGGTTCCCTTCTTCCGGCGATTCCCCTCTCTCGTCGCATTTTTTTTTTCGGCGCTAGAATGGATGGATGAAAGGCGGCGCTGGAATGGATGGATGGAAGGGGCCAAGGGTTGGGGTTATCAGATAGGGAGATGGAGTAGCCTACTCCATCTGAATTTAATTTCGACAGAAACGGAGTTAGCTACTCCGTATGACATTTAATGTAATACTGAGTAAATAAACTGACATGGTGTTGGCTACTCCGTATGACATATGACATATAAATAAATTAAGACGGAGTTGGCTACTCGTTTTATTTAAAATTTTCGAGTAGAAACGAAGTAGCCAAATCCGTATTGCACTGCAAGAAAAAAAATCCAACTGAATGATTTTTTTAGTAAATTCCATAATTAGTCCTTTATAATAAGGAGGTTTTCATATTTAGTCTTCTATTACCAAATATTACCCCCGTAGTCCTTCTTTTAAGGGTACCTTTCCATAAATGGTCCTTTTTTTGATCTTCTGTCGTGTTGGTGTTAATTTAAAGGCTAAAAGTATAATTTGACATCAACATTATGTTTAGTGACGTGTTCCAAATGGTCCAATTTCGTTTGCTCGGTGCATTGCTCCAAAGCCTCCAAATAAGAAAAACAGCTCCATCTGTTCATTCAAAAAATTTCCCGTTAGCGCTCTGACTGCTAAGCATATCTCACGGACACCTCTCTTTCTTCCTGCACTTTTGTAGTGCGTCTACACTTTTCCCTTCAATCCCTAGCCCCTACTGCAAATAATCTTCCACATTGAAGTTGCAGGCCCATCGGCCAATTGCGTTATATGTCAATGGCGGAAGGCGAGCACATAGATCTCGATATCAAGGGGCTTAGTCTCATCGGCGATGACGCATCTGAGAACGATGATTTCCTTTTCACCTTGTCCCCTCCGCCGCCGCTCAGGCCGACCGGTACCCTAGAACTTCACGTTTCATGTCTTATGTTTTTTCTGTCTCTATTTAATTCTTTTTCCGATCTAGCTGTTTGATGATACGCCAGAGTTGGGTTCTACCGTCAGACCTAACCCTACTGTTTCGAATTAGTAATTCATAGAAATGGAAATTTGTATGAGCTTTAAGAGAATCCTTTTTTTCCGTTTCGAAGGATTTGATTGACCTAATGGTGGGTCGGGAAGGAAAGGATGTCACCAAAATGTCTGATCCTTTTTCTACTACTATGTAGCTTTGTTGATCTGAATTAGTTATTTGGGTATGAATGCGAATTGATTATTTTAGCTGCTAATCTGTGAAGTGATACTAATCTTAACATGCTTTGTTTGTATTCTTTTCCTCCGGTTAGAGTAGACCCTTGCATCTGAATTTGTGACAGTGGATATAAACTTTTTGTCTCAGATAATTGCAAGGATTTGAACTCAGAATTGTCCAGAACTGTGTATGTTCAAGAAGAAAAGGATATAATCAATAACGTCAACCAGTCCGACATGTTCGCTGAACTACATGTATCAGTGGAGCCAGAAAGAAGCAGAAGGAAAGGAAACTTGAATTTACGCAAGAGCCTAGCATGGGACGCTGCTTTCTTTACAGATGCAGGTTTTTTTTTTGTTTTGTGTGCCCTCAGAAAGAAGCAATTTTCCCCCGCTTCACTCAGATAACACTTTTATTTTTATGTTATGTTTTTGTCATTACTCTCGCAATCAAAATTGTCGTTCATTCTGAACCGCTTCATTTCCAGGTGTTCTAGATCCAGAAGAGTTATCTTCCATGGTCAAGGGAGCTGAAAAAAACACACTGCCTATGATTGATGAGAATGTTGATAAATCTACAGATACATTATCAACTCTAGAAAGTGATAATGTTCCACTCGAACATCTTGAGGCTGAGTTGTTTGCAGACATTAGAGCATCAATACAGAGATCCAACAAAACCTCTGGTTCCAGGAAAGAAACATCTCCTGAGGCAGACCCTGGCAAGTAACAATATACTTTTTCCTAGTCAGTGTCTTGTTCAATTGTTGGAAACCTTACTATTAAGTAATAGGGTCTGAACTATTGCTTTCTGTACTTTTCTTTTCACAGCTTCAAAAAAGGCAGATGCCGCTTCAAGAAATGTGGTAAGACCAACTAAACCAAGTGGACATTTGAAGTCACATGTTATCTTATTAATAACTTTTGTACTCTATAGTATCCAGTAGCTTGTCAATGACAGAGCTATATTCTGAAAAATTTCAGCCGAAGCCTAAACTCCTTCCTAAAAGAATCACTGGGACACACACACTGGGAATGCCAAAGGGCCAGCAGAAACCCACTGAGGGAATACAAGGCTCTAGGAAAGGTGTAAAACCGGACATTCCACGTGCTACAAAGGCATGTACAGTTCTATTTATTTGTAGATGATTGGAACTTTAATATGCACCAATCATAAATTCACATCTGCTTTTGCCCTTCTTGTTTTATGGATTTTCTTTAATAGAATCTCTGAGTTTCCATTCTTTCTCTATATCTTTTGAAATATCTCAAACAAAAAATAATTGTCACTCTCGACTTTGGTTTAGCTCATGGTATTTTCTATGTTAATGAAGAGTGTCACCACTGTCGCCAAATCTGGGGACTCGACATCATCATCTGCTAAGCTACCAAAAATGATGTGTAAGGCCAATCCCATCCCGGCACCAATGGCGAAAAGGGCTTCTTTTAGTGCTAATCAACTTAAAATTGATCATGACAGTTCAAAAACAAATACTGGTAAGAAAACAGATTTCTAATTCTGTTTACTTTTACTTCAAATGATATACGGAGTATCATGTTTGCTTCAGAAGTCGCAGTGTCTAGATTGGACTCTTTATGTATCTTAGTTTTTCATTGTCATCTTATTATTACTAACCATGGGCAAATTGATGGAAACTGGCAGTTTCTGGTAAAGGAATGCATCCGTCAAAAACATTTGACTCAAGTAATGCCACCAAGGTGTTACCAAAACCTACATTGCCTTCCAAGTCCACATCTATGAGATTTTCAGCTGCAACCAAGATGCTGTCCTCAAGATCTTCAAGTGATAGTACTACTGGAAGTACTTCGTCTGACAAGGCAGGAAAACCTGCTTTATCTGCTTCCAGAAGGAAGGTGCTTACAAAACAGCCTGTTAGTCAACCTTCTTCTGGATCAACACTAAAAACTCCATCAAAGGCCCCATCGAAGAGCAAAGTGTCGACTGGAAATTCTGCAGTCTCAGCTTATATTATGTCTTCGAAGATCATCAATTCAAACATATCTCCTGCTAGTTCTATAAGTGAGTGGTCATCTGTTTCAGCAGCATCATCATCATGTTCAAATCTCAATACCAGGTCAAATAAGTCGAGGGCTAGTTTTGATACTAGTTCTTGTAGATCTTTGGAGAGTGTCGTTACTAGTCAGGACATCACAAACTGGTCTAGTTCTCAGACCTCAGAAAAACCAAATCAAGTAACATCGCCAAAAGAAAATCCAATGAATGTTCCAACAAATCCACTAATGAGACCATCAGGCCTGCGGATGCCATCCCCGAAAATTGGTTTTTTTGATGGGGTCAGTTTTTTTCATTCAACTTGTACCTCCTATTCAAAATTATGGATCAATGTAGGAACAATAGTGAAATCATGATCTGTTATCCTTCATTTTGAATAAATGTTTGCAGGCTAAGTCAGTTCGCACACCCAATGGGACTAGTATGCATTGCCATCCCATACAAAGCACCGCAATGCCCAAAATCGGGAAGGCCACTCTACGCAGTCCAAGTGGGAGGTCAGATATGAAATCCAACAAGGTCACACTATTGAATGCCATTGATGATCCAACAGATAAGAAATGCTTTCCCAGCTTTGCTCCAGAAGTTCATCATAAGACAAAAGAAGCAACAATGGAACGTGCACTAGATGATGTACTATTTGATGCAGTTAATAATCATGGTGGAGACAAAGACATTCTAAAGAATGAAATGTGTGAAAATGGAAACGTGAAGGCCAACGTGATTGACATCAAGGCCATTGAAGAGAAGACTTCTCATCCATTCACAATGAACACTGAAACCATGGTAACTGGGCTTGAAGCTAGTAGGATACCATTTGCTGACAGGAACTCTGGAAATGGTAATTTTCTTGATTCCTCTCTGGACGCATCCTCCTGGAATTGATTACAGAAAACAATAATTTATAAATCATTTGGAATTGGAGTCTCCCCTACCCCTACTAGTTCCATGTCAATATAGCTTGCTCCTATCTGTTTAGATGTACTGTGTTAGAGAGAGAGAGAGAGAGTGAGTGAGAGAGAGAGATCATGCATGTATGTTATAAGTTATAACAAATCTGTGATTTGCATTTCTTTCATGCTTCCTCTCTGACATTGATGACAATTTGTTGAAGGACATCTGATATCTTAGTAGTGCTTAATTGGTTATCCATAAAGTACCAAATATAATACTCCATGTGTCCCAAATTATAATTTCAACCTCTGGTGCAGATTCAAATGGATTTTTCAATTTTAGTACTTTTATTAGAGTCCACATCAGGAGTTAATACATATGCTAGGAGCAATTAGAGTAGATCTCCAATTCTATGCGTCAAGGTTTGCTTTTTTATTTAAGTTTGTTATTATATTTATAATAATATTTTTCAATAAATAAATGTTAATCCCTAATTCACTTTCTGGTGCATTCCCTAATTCACTTTCTGGTGCAATGTTGATTTTGGTAAATGTAAAATTTTTACTTTTTTTACGATATAAAAATTGATTTCCAACTTCTATTTTCAATTTACCATAACTTTTTTTTGTTAATAAATACGGAGTATATGTCAATTGTTGATTCTGGTGATTATATATATATTTTCCATTTTCCGTAGAGAGCCAATTTACTTTTCATTTCAGATTTCAACTTTTAGTAAATGTATGCAAATGACTTTTCAACATTTTGATTTTTATTTTAGATTTTCAATATCATTTTTAGTCTCTAATTTTTTTCACTTTTTTTTTTCATTTTATGTTAATGTTTTCAGTTTTATTATAATTAACAACACTAGTTTTAGTACTATTTCGTGTCTTTGGTTTACATTCATAATTCTTCGGTTCCATATTTGTTTTTCAAGCAGACACTAATTTAAATTATACCAGTACCCAATAACCCATATTTGTTGCAGGTTTGCAATTGAAAACTCACTGATCAATATCTTCTGAGAACACTGCATGTTGCTACTCAAAACAATGCATTTTCACTCCTTTGTAGTGTTCTTTTGAATTTCAGTATTACATGGATCCACCAACCAAAATGAGTTCATAAGGCATCTAGAAAATAGAAAATACTTACAATATATGCATACACAACTAACTTGGTGCATTTATATTACGAGTAGTTTAGAGTAGTGTTAGTACACAGTAGCTATTTTTTGGATATTGGAAGCACAATTATTTCTGTTTTCCTGTGTGTTTTTTAATTTGCATATGTAGTGCATTATCAAAATCAAGATAATGCACTATCAGAACCAAGATAATGCATTTACATTCGAGGACAATTCATCGTTTACATTAAGGTAAACAATCATGCATTCTGTTACTGTACATTCTAAGAACCAAAGTTCATGCATTGATTGTGAAATTCTCATCACAAAAAAATGATGCATTATATTTTAGATAGTGAATTTTCTCTAAACGACGATGCATTTAAAATATTTTATGATACATTTGAATATGGATTATCTAGATAGTAAATTTTCACTAAATGATGATGTATTTAAAATATTTTGTGATAAATTTGAATGTGGATTAGAAACACATTGAATGTTGCCAATTTTAAAAGATTAAAATGCATATTTAAAAGGTCTAAATGAAAGATCAGAGGCCTTTGAAAAAATAAATTATTGCCTATTAGCTCAAATGATAGAGTAGTGTGTGCTACAGATGTGAGTTCGAATCCCGCGTAGGCAAAACATTTTTCAAATATGTATTATAAATACGGCCCGGTTCCATGGCCATTGGATTCCAGTGGCCACGGAACCGGGCCGTTACAAATATTCTTAATGCAATGCATTTTTCAGTCTTTGTCATTGCATACAATGTCACTCTGAAGTCATTATTCATTAATTCACAAATTAGTATAATAAAATTAAAATAAAATCTAAAGAACAAATCATAGTGCATATATCTTCAGTCACTTTGCATTTGCCTTACACATTTAATTATGGATATCACAGTGCATCTCATCGAGATAAAATTGAAAAAATGAGATATTTATGGAATCAATTAATTTTGAAAACACCGTGATATTGTGGCTTTACAATTAATCAATTTAGTTGAGTTAATAAGACCACTTAATTGAAAAAAAATTAATACGGAGTATTGGTCTAAAAATGTTGATGATGTGGCCATTTGTTTTCCTAACTTGCCCTTTTCTATAACATTTATTAATAAAATAGCACGCCGCATTAAATATAGCCAATCTCAATTACTATTTTGCATCAATGAGAGGCGTTAGATTTAATAGATCAATGCATATCCTATTTCTTTCGCCAAGCATCATTAGCATCATTCTCACTAGAACCAACCCCTTAACTAGTATATAAATAGTTAAATTTGACTCTAATACCATGCAATGATTCTATGCTAACTCTGCCTAAGCATAAACATCTAACATTATTGTTGTCTGGAATCGAATTCGACTACAATGACCCAGACAAAAAAGGGATGAACCTCGTCTTGTTTAGTCTTCCTTTTCGGGCCTGGGAGGAAGGCTCTCGCCTTGTTTAGTCTTCCTTTTCGGGAAGACCGGAAGAAAAACGGAACAGTTTAATCTTTCTGTTGCCGAGAGGGTAACGACGGCCGCAAAAGCCGAGAGAAGAGAGGCGAAGAGAGAGAGAAGAGAGTAGGGTTAGGGTTTTGATAATTCTTCTTATTTTATTACTTTAGGTTACACCTCTATTTATAACAAAGAGATGAGAACCAATCCTAACGATACTAGGTTTTCTACCCTTTCGGTTCAAGAAAAGCATCGAGGGAAAGAAGAAAAAAGAAACGCTCGAAATAGCTTATAATATGCTCACCTAAAAAATCTATTACAATAATAATAAGAGATAAAAATAAATAATGTTTGTGTATTTTTAAATGAAATTGTCATAGCGTCTCGAATGCCGCGTGCTCCTCTTCGGCCGGCTGGACCGCTCTTGGCCAGACCGCCCCAAGTTCCGTAATATTCTCCCGGCCTTCAGAAAGCAAATTGTCCTCAAGTTGTAAGTCGGGTAACGAGACCGCTAAGGACTCCACGGGCTCCCGACCTTATTTCTTTTCTAAATCATTCCCCTCTTTTATTTACACTATGTTTGGTTCAAGGAATTAGGAAAAAAGAAAAAAGAAAATGACTTTCTCTCATTTTCCTCACCAAAATAGAAGAAATTTGATTTTCTCTTGTCTTAGTATATTTTACCTTTTCAATTTCTTTTCCATTCACCTTTCTTTTCTTTTCTTCTCCAACTAAACAAAAAAAAACTGTTTTCCATCCTTTTTTTTTCTTTTCAAATTTCTTGAACCAAATATAGTGACACGCTGTTAGAGAATTCAACGTTTCTGAGAGGAATCTATGAAAATTCCAAAAGACTAAGCATGGTTGTATTCCTCATCACATCAAATTACTTAAGATTGTTGTCTACTTGTCTTGTTACCATAAAGAGCTGTAATTGGGAAGAAATGATGAGACATTGCACAGACCCACCAAGCTGTTATTTAATTAACATAATAAACAGAAAAAATTCCATGAAAAAAAAAACAGAACAAAAGAAAAACAGCTACAGCTCTCACAACTATCTTCTACTAAGCCAAATAGCTATACAAAAGTCTTCTGGTGTTATTCTGATCTTTTGATAGATCCCCACCTGTCATCACCAAAAAAAAAAGAGAGTTATATTCAGATAGATATTTGCCACTTAAAATGCAAGTAGAATGAGAGAAGAAATCGATTCGAACCCGATGGGGAGAAGCCAAGTGAGCTATTTTTGCCCCTTCTTCAACAAAACCCCGATCTTCTTGAGCATGGTGTTGCCATTCTTCTTCTTGGGGGAGGAGGAGTCGTCTTCGGCCTCCTCTGAGAAGGGGGAACCCAACCTCCCCCCAATTGTGGAATGGTAGTCCATCGAACCCGTCCTCCCCACATACTTCCCATTGTTGTTGTTGTTACCAGTTGCTGTTGAAGAAAGCATGGCTGCAGCAGCCTCCGCAGCCTTCCTCCATTGATCAGACTGCACCTTCAGCCTCCTCATCTCTGTCTCCAGCTCACAATTTGCAGCCTGTGCTGCATCCAGCTGCTCGGTCACCCGTATTGTCTTCCTGCTGCTTCTCTCTGCCTCTTCCTTGAGGCACCCCAGCTTCATCTCTGCTTCTTTTTTCTCACATTTCAGCATTTCGTTCTCCCTCGTCATGCTCTCCATCTCTGCTTCTAGAACAGACCCAGATTTCATCTTCTTCAGTTCTTCCTTCAAAGCTTCAACTTCTGATCTCGATTCCTCCAGTTCAGATTTCGTCTGCTGCATTTGCTCGTAGGCACTCCTCATCTGCAATGTGCTCTGAATGTACTGTTCTTCGTTCCTTCTCTCGGCCTCTTCCAGTGTGGCTTTTAAAGCTTTGACATCACTGCTTCCGCCGTTGTTTCCTTCTTCAAGAAGAAGCTCCTGGAGAGAAGCCACTTGCTTCTTTGATTCCTCCAGTTCTGTTTGAGCTTTAGTCAGTTCTTCCAGCAAATGAGCTTCGGATTCTTCACTGCTGCTCAGCTGGGCTTTCAGCATCTCAATCAAGCTGTGTGTTGACTCAGCACGGGTGGCTTCGGATTCGAGCTGGATTTTGAGCTTCTGGATTTCGGCGTGTGCGGAGGCAAGGGCAGTGGAGTCCAACTCGTGCTGTTTCTGGAGAGCTTCGAGCTCGGATTTCCAGGCCCGGTCGCGATCCTGAGAAATCTTGCGCAGCTCTTGGAGACGAGCTTCTTCGGAGTCTGAGAGCTCGAAGAACTGCTTCTGAGACTCCTCCACCTTCTCTGACATGGCAGCAAGCTGTCTCTTTGTCTCTTCCACCTCAAGATGAGCCTTCTTCTTCATTGCTTCCGAAGAGCTTAGCTGTTCCTTTGCCTTCTTCAGCTCTTCTTGGAGCTGCGCACGCTGTGCCTCCAACTCTGGCACTTTCGCCAGACGCTTCTTCTGGATCACACGGGGTAAAGAAGCAAAAGTTTCTCAAAAAGAAATATTTGCACTAA